AAATCTAGCTAGAAAAGGGACTTTGTACACCAGTACCTTGTCATGTAGGAAGAATATACTCTTCAGTATTTTACATATGAAAATAAATCTGTGTTTCTATGCATGAGTAGACGAGCTGGGGCAGAATCTAAAAAGACCAGCGAGTGGACAATGGCAGAGTCAACAAAATCTGCCTAAGATGTACCACACACTATACTAATTAGATTACCCTGAACCTATTTAATAGACAAGGAATAATGTGGCACAGAAAACATCATTAACCCATTAAATCATTACTTAAATTTAAGAAATTCAGTTTGTACAGTGATGATATATCTCCCATGCAGATTAAAACTCTAGCATCATTCTTTAAGAATTAAGTCATAATATTACCCATGCTGTCAGCAAACTATAATAGGAGAGCTTGTATACTCCGTACATTAATGTACTCCTAATTTCCCTTGTTTTCTAACAACACCTCTTTATATAGACCATGGACCTTTCTTGTCATAGACAGGATCTTCATGCTTTTTCTTCTCCTCCTCCTCATAACTGCATTTTGGATTGGTCTCAGCTAACTGGAACAACTCTGTCATGTTCTGAGGGCCCCCAAATACCAGGCCCATATAAACCGCAATTTTAAACAAACTGTAAACATTCTGGCCAATAGAGGGTAGAAAGGGAATTTTTCAGTGAACCCATTTTGTAAGAAAAATGGGGAGGCCCCTCATGGATGTGGCCCTACAAGGTCCACAGTTGGGCATGTGCAACCCCAGATGTTTGAAAGTTCTCCACCTTTGTTCTACAGCTTCCAAATCCCTCAGCTTTGGTCATAGTCATTGTTGCTTCTGGGAGTTGAAATATGACAACTACGACACAAAGGTTGTGAACCAGTGGTTGAGAGGAAAGATAAATTACAGTAATATCTTGAAAGTTTGTATACCTTGAAGTATATCAGAAACAAAACAGTTTTGTTTATTATTGTTGCTATTTGTTGTTTTTGCTGTTAATTATATTTATATCCTGTTTACCCACTCATAGATAGTGCTTAAGGTGTTTACAGACATCATAAAAAATAAAAGCAAGTGTAATTATAAAATCATTAGAATCAAATAAAACCAATGCAACCATAAAATCCCATTAAAATCAGTTAAGTATACAGTTAAAATAATCACAATTAATTAAACAGTTATTATAAGCCAATGTGTTTTCATACTCTTTCCAAATTATTGAGAGTGGAAATGGGTTGCAGTTCTGAGGGAACTGCCTTCCACAGGCTGGAAACCATGCAGGAGAAAGCCCTCTCTTGTGTGTCTGTCAGACAACTGGACTTCTCCTCAAGGTAACGTCTGAAGAGAAACAACACCTGGGGACTCAAGATACATACTGTAGTTTGTTAAGACAGCGAGGCCATAAGTGATACAGTCTCTAATGGAATGGTTCCCAATCTTGGGTCCCCAGGCATTCGTGAACTACAATTCCAAGAAATCCTGGTTAGCACAGTTAGTGGTGAAGGCTTCTGTGAGTTTTAAGTCCTAAGAATATTTGGGGACCCAAGGTTGGGAACTACTGCTTTAACGGATAAAACCAATACCTTAGATTGGGCCTAATAATCACTTGCAGCCACTGTAGCTCTTTCATATGCTCTCAGTACCATGTACTGTACCAGTTAGCAGCTTATTTGCTGCATATTGCACCACTTGAAGTTTCTGCATCCTCTTTAAAGCTAGTTAGGCAGCATTGCAGTGGCCGAGGCATTACATAACTAGGGCACTGATGAGTGTTGTCAAATCAGATTGAGTTAAATGTCATAACTGCACAATAAGTGGAATTATGCAGATGTACTCCTTGTCCCTGGCTCCATCAGAGAATACAAGAATTGCAAATCAAGGCATAATCCCAAACTATAAACTTGACTTGTTACGTCAAGCACAACCCTTGCTGGGAAAGCATCAATCTCATTTTTGGAGCCTGACTTCCTATTGTCCAGCAGCACCTCTCTTTTGTCTGGATTTGATCTCAGCATGTTCACCATCATCCAGTCCAGACAATATTCAAGGTATTGACTGCTGCCTTGATGTTAGATGACAAGAAACAATAGACTGGGTGTCATCCTCATATTGGTAGCATCTCATCCCAAAGCTACCAAATGAGATCTCCAAACAGTTTCATATAGAAAAGGTAGAGTGCTGAGGGACTTCACATGGTGTCAAACAGTGCTCCAAAGCAGGGGGTACTGGTACAACCGCTGGTGGCAAAAATACAAACGTCAGACTGAGTCTCAAGATGTCTAAAATACTGGCAATGCAAACTTTATTCTTATCTTAAAAATCTCAGACTTGATGCATTTTGGCTGTGGCCTTCAGGATCCAAGAAAAAAGAGCTGTAACTGTCTCTAACAGCTGTTTCTAAAGTAATATATTTATTTATTTTATGCGTAGCTCCTGAAGAAGGCCATAGCTGAAATGTGTCAAGCCTGAGCTTTTTAGAGCTGTTGTCAGTAGTTTTATATGTCTGGAGACTCAGTCTACCATTTGTTTGACTTGTCAAACAGTCCTCCCCAGCCCCACTTTTTGAGTGAGGGGGGATTTGAGTCAGTACAATACAGTGCTCCCAGTACCCAGTTTAGCAACACAGTCCAACAGGATGTCATGGTCAATGATACTTGAATACTACCCTGTATCCAATCCCCAGCATAGACCAATTGCCAAAGAAGTCTCAGTCTCAAAAGAGTGTTTGAAGTGGGTCCATATCATCGTGAGTGTTTGATGTCACAGGATCGCTACCATCTCAGCTATCTTTGGCAAAAATGGTAAATTTGAGATTGGCCTATAATTAGTCAGAACATCTAAGTCAAGGGCTTGTTTATCTAAAAGGAATTTTGTAATACAGTGGTGCCTCGATGTTTGATGTCACAGGATCGCTACCTTCTCAGCTATCTTTGGCAAAAATGGTAAATTTGAGATTGGCCTATAATTAGTCAGAACATCTAAGTCAAGGGCTTGTTTATCTAAAAGGAATTTTGTAATACAGTGGTGCCTCGTATTACAATGCGGATTTCCCCATCGCTAATGCGAGGACACGCTCGCATTACGATGGAGGAACAGCTGTTCTGCGGCTCCAAAATGGCCGCCGGAACACAAAAAATGGGTGCCGGTACACCCAAGATGGCCACCGTAACAAAAAAAATGGCCGCTGGCACACCCAAGATGGCCGCTGGAACAAAAAATGGCCGCCAGAACACCCGAGATGGCTGCCGGAACAGAAAAAAAGGCCACTGGTACACCCAGGATGACCGCCAGAACACATAAAATGGGCACCGGTACACCCAAAATGGCCGCTGGGATGCTCAAAATGGCCGCCGGTACACTCAAGATGGCCGCCGGAACAAGGGAAAACATCGGGGAACGGTGAGTTTTAGGCCCAATTGGGATTTTTGATCCGTTTTACGATGTTTTCCCATAGCGAAGGTTAATCCAGAACGGATTAACCTCGCTATGCGGGGCACCACTGTACTTTCCTTTTTATAGGAATGGGCAACCCTTCCTATAAGGAAGCATTAATCATAAAATCATAGAATAACTGAGTTGGAAGGGGTCTATGAGGCCATCAAGTCCAACCCTCTGATCAATGCAGAAATCCAAATCACAGCAGATCTGACAGATGGTTGTCTAATTTTCTCTTGAATGTCTCCAGCGCTGGAGTGCTCACCACCTCCTGAGGTAATTGGTTCCATTGTAGTATTATTCTAACAATTAAGAAGATTTTCCTGATATTCAACCTAAATCTGGCTTCCTGTAGCTTGAGCCCATTATTATGTGTCCTACACTCTGGGATGATTGAGAACAGATCCTGCCCATCCTCTGTATGACTATATTTAACTGTAACATAAGTCCCACCTTGGGAGATTGGCTAACCAGGAGGGGCAAGGATCGAGGCAAGTAGTAACCCTTGCTGTTCCAAAATCCCTGGTTTAAAAGTGAAAAAAAAATCTTAACGAAGGCAAGCAGCACCTGGATTTACATTAATTTGACCTGCTCACTTATCACAATCTGAGTGAAGAAATCCAATGTGATTTATCTGCAAAACAAAAGCTACGCAAAGCACCACCTGTCTAGTTACACGGGTGGAAAGGACCATTACAGAGTTTGGAGAAGTGTCACTCGTCTGCTGTCTGTAGATGGGATAGTAACAGGGACATGGCTTTCTTGCAACCGCAGCATAACATTTTAGATGTATTACAGCTAGTGGCACCTTGCTAAACGACAACCCTGCTAAACTACAAATCTGCATGACGATGACTTTTTGCGATCGCTATATCGATTTGCAAAACAGTCATTCCTATGGGCGATTTCCCCTTCACGACGATTAGGTCTGTGCTTCGCGAACCGTTTGTTTGCAAGACGATGATTTTTTTTCGGCTCTGCAAAATGGCTGCCCTGTGTTTTCCGAACCCATGCTTTGCAGGGCAGCCATTTTTACAGCTGATCGGCGCTCACAAAATGGCTTCCCTATGGGCGATCTTTGCTGGGCAAAGAGGTATTTTCCCCATTGGAACACATTAAACCGGGTTTCAATGCATTCCAATGGGGAAAGGGTTTTCGCATGACGACGATTTCGCTAAACAGCGATTTTCCCAGGACGGATTATCGTCATGTGGGGTACCACTGTAATTTGTGGTCTAATTCATCCCAGGTTTTTCCCTAGCACAGCTATTCTCAACAGGGGCCCTGGCACATTTGAAAGAGGCCACAGATTAGAAACAATTCTTCACACACCACCTTATAAAGTTCATTATGTAATTTATGTAATCCTGATTCGGCCTATATTTCTTTCATATTGTGTTTATGGCTGTAACCAACAAAGGGTTAAGAATGGCTGCTCTAGCAACACCTTAGCCACCATCCTTCCTCTATAGCTTGGGGAACATGGAAAGTACCATATCTCAAATCATAACCAGTTGCCCATTTGGCTTAATATTGTCTATTCTGACAGAAAATATCTCTCCAGAGTTTCATGCTGGGGGGCCATATATGGAGTATCAGGGATTACGTGTGGAACGCTTTGTCTGCAAAACAGATAACCTGCCACTGAGGTACATTTTTTTTCTTAAGGAATATTTAATTGTGTTATCGGAATACGATAGGTATTTGTTCATATATAACACCCCTGCTTAGGATCCTTAAGGGTGATAGCTGCTTACATAAGTGTAAGTCACTACTTTCATTACTGGTTTTATCACTGTAAATCCTCCATTATTTCCTGACTGTCCAGACCTCATGGGAAGGCTCTTTACGAGATGTTGGGGACCAATGAGAATGGAGCCCCAGCGGAGGGTTCTTTTCTAATTAAATTTCCATTGGAAGGAACATCCGGAGCGGCAGTTTCCACTGTGGATTGAAGGCCAAACATTATGAGTCTTTGTCATTTGATTAAAAATGTTACTTAACCTTTAAATTGCTACAGATATAAAGATAGCCCTGAGTTTCTAATGTAATCTCCTCAAAGTTAAAATCAGGAAGATCTTTGTGTAATGAAACCCATATGTCATAGTGAAAGGATGCAAAGCGCTGGCAGAATGGGCTGCTCTCGCAAGAGATTCTGCACCCAATCTTGTTAACTAGGGCTGCTTTTGGTAATCCCTCATCTCCTCACTTGCAAGAAATCAATCTGTACTACTGAATCTCTTCAACCAGCAGCCACAAAATTTACTGCGGGAGGCAGTTTGGGGACAGTTTGTAGTTGGAAAGGAGACCAAGGCAACAAGGCTAAATAGAGGATTGAGGGATTGAAGTTCCAAAGAGGAGATTATATTAAATTGTGCTCCACCCTCCTAGCAACTGGAAAATTAAGCTTCCAATTTTGGCTTCTGCCTCTTCTGTTCACTACCTGGTTGGACATATCTATTCTAAAGCAGCAAATTTAATTCCTGGTTCAAGAGCCTCATGTTATTTATAGCAACCCAATGACTGTTTCCTAGGTAGTCCCAGGAAAGGGCGGATTTGTTCCAATACTCAGTTTTATTGTAACCTAGGCCGATTACATCCTAAATTGGTGTTTTCTGTGGTCTTCAGTGCCCCCACTTCCTCATCTAACTGAAGGGATTAATTTGTAACTGAGCTATTGCAGTCATATCCATTGTTGATTTTCTATTGTAGTGATACATGTACTGCATAGGATGGATTGTAATTTTTGTCCTGACATGATGATTCATTCTCTGGTTGCTGGCTGATGCTATGAAATCTGCATGAGGTCCCACCTCCAGTAGGCATGTCCTTTGGGTTAGGCATGTTTTTTAAAAAAACATTTCTATGACTTCTAGTACATTTTGTCGGCTATTCAGTTAGCTAAGACTCATGTCTGTTAAGTAAACAGTATACCGAGTAGCATATTTCTCTTGTTTCTTTGAATAGTCTGTAGCAAGAGCTATTAATGTAAGTTTTATTTTATTTATGGGTTTTTTTGGATGCCTTGCTGAGTTTTTTTTCCTGGGCTTTCTTTTTGTCTCCTGAGCACATGGCCTGGGGGCGGGGCCTAGGGGTGGGACTTCCTGATTTAAAAGAGCGTGTCCCAGGACCGTGCACCGAAATTCTCAAATTTTGTATCTGGCCTTAATATGGTAAATAGGAAAGCCAATGAGATTTGCATAAGCCGGGTAGTCAGGAAAGTTTTAAGGATCAGATCATACTTTTGCACTATTAAAGAGCAGGCCGGGTAGGTGGGGCTCGTCAGCCATGGAAGGCAGCCCATCTAGGAGAAGGAAAACTGCAATTTCAAACCTCCACTGCCTTGTGGCTATATCCACTCATGGAAAAGGCTTCAGGAGTTAACCTCGAGGCAAAATCCGGAGCTGGAGTCCCGAAGGCAGCATGTGTCGTTCTGCCAACTCCTGCGACATTGCTGGAACCAGTTGTATTGGCTCTTGCCTTTCCATTGGACCATTTCAGCAATGTGGAGAGGGGGGATCTGCTGCTTGGGTAACAGCCTATCCTCCATATTACCTTACCTGGGCTTCATGCTCTGGAGAGGACACTCCTCGATTCAGAGCATGTTACCATAGTCTCTCGAGACTGAAGGATGCCTATGCTATGTGTTTTTTTGTTCATTCCTTCTGCATCGGGGATATGGGCCACAGTGCCCTTATTTTCCTACTTGTTTCTTCACCGAAACAACTATAAAGTATCTAGAACAAAAAGTCTAGATGAGGCATCAAGAATGTTAAACTGGAATGATGCAAAACATAAACACTGAGGCAATTTTCAGTCTATGTCCCCATGTTAGGATGAGACAGGGCAAGGGAACTTCAGTGGGGAAAGCTGTGGGCAACCAAGTGCCTGTGATAATGGGATGGAGCTCTGTGCAATCTGAAGTTGTCCCATGTTCCTGAAAAGGTATGGTTTAGATAGTGCCAGGCAAGACAAGAACAGCACAGAAACAAAATTGGCAAGAAAGATTCAGAAACTTCTTTACACACAATTTGGATGGCGCTTGATGGGTATGGAAGGCATCCTTAATAGGTACAGGGAACTTCCCTCAGTTCTGGATTATACATTTTAAAATTTAAAGCCTAGTTGCCTCCTTAGTGTGTATTGAGAAGAGGAATACAGAACAGCAGAAGGCTGTCTCCTGTTCCTAATGGGATTTTGTAGCAGCATGTGCGAGTTTGTTTCAGAAGTCAGAAATGAACAGATGTTGGTATAAATTACCTCTGTGTCTGATGTCTTGCAAATTAAAAGCGCGGTTGGCATCACTAAACAATTTCACCAGGTGGGGGGGGCAGGACGAGCGGATGGTGATTATTGTAGCAGGTCGGTAAGAATCCTTAAGCTGCGGCAGAGCAGGATAGCAAGGATAAAGGAATGAAGAATAAAATGAGAGGTCTGTGAATTAATCAGAAATGTTAACATCTCAGATGACAAGCGAACAGGAGGGCACGTGCTCTGGAGCAGCCCCCAACTCACAGTAATTTCACTTGGAGCACAGAACTAGTCAATGCTTGTGGTCTGATTTATAGGGTGCAGCCCTCTTCAGGGGCGCATAGTTGTCATACATTCGTATATCTCCTATATGGGACTGGTGCTCCAGAAAACTTCCACTCCATCAGCAATAATGCTGTAGTTTGACATTACCTGAATGAGAACAGCGTGTGGGGTTTAATTCAAAGTGAAATTTGATGAATCTCAGACTTTCAGTAATTGTTTCCAAGTTTAGTGTTTTACTATTCCCCCCCCCCGCAACGCACATTATACTTGTGGTGGGTGGTAGGGGTGGAATGACTGGAGAACACAAGTGTTTTCATTGCATTTTCCCCTGGAGAGCTTCATAACACTTTAGGGACTTAGAACTTGGTAAGCAGGTATGTATCATGGCACTTTATTCACGCAACCTGCATTTCCCTACCTAGCAAAAGGTGTTTATCATAGGAAAATTTGGAATACTGTACATGTATCATAGACCATTCATTTCAGATCTCAAAATCAAGGGGCAGTTTAGACAGCCCCATTAATGCAGTAAACTGTAGACTGAGTGACTGGTTTTGAGTCTTCTGTTTCTGGGTATGGTGTGGTCAAGTGCCTAGTTGACATTTCTTATCTTGTACCATACACAAATGAGATGGAAAGATATCTGCAAATTTGGGGGAACCCAGGGTAGTGGAAGTCTCAAAAATATTTAGGGGAAACTCCATGGAGGAACAGAGAAGTCCTCCAAACAGTGAGGATTAAACATGCTTGGCAGCCACAAAGTGCTAAATTGAGGACACAAGATAGTGGTGAAATAATGTATTCAGGTGAAATATGGTAAACCAATAGGTTTAGGGCTAGTTCTTTGTTTGACTTGAAGAAGAGATGGGGATTACCTTTTAGACTGACTGGGTTGTAAGAAGAACACAGGGGAACTCTGTTATATTATCTGTGCTCTTGAAGCAGTATTCCTCTACACTAATTAACTTCTAATACTGGAGCTGAGCTGAGGGGGAAAATACTCAAGAGGTAAGAAGGGTGGAATCCATTTTATTTTTGTTTCTCCGCTCTCAAATTAATATAAAAAGAAGCAACCTTCCACCCCCACTTCTCAGCAAGCCAATCATATATAATGAGCGCATGGGCAAGTAGCTTGGGCTTCAGTCCGATTCTCTAAGTCATGCATTGTGTCCTTTTGCTCTTAAATAAGAATGCATACTCAGGATCTCTTAACTCAGATCTGGGTAGGCTACATTGTGAAACAGTGTTGTAGTATTACTGGCATGAACCTCAGACTCATCAGCTGTTTTGGTGAAACTTTGTATCAGTTTTCAGATAACCACAGTTTAGTGTTGTACCTGAATCCTAAACAGTGGTTAACTGTGCTGTATTAAAACAAGCCAACTTAAAATTGACATTGGTTGATTTCAGTAAACCATAATTAAAATTGATCATATTTGGCTGGTCTATTAAAAATAAGCTGAAGTTGCAGATTCAGTAGGAACAGAGTGGATAGACAAGCTGACAGCTGCAATTTTTTTTCATCCAAATATAGTCACAGGGTAAAGTAATGCTGAGTATGATTTTTTTAGAATTAAAAACTCAAGAGTGGTTCAGAAAGATTCTAGGTAGGAAAAAAAGCTGTGCATGTGAGACCACTTTCAGTCCACCCCTGTTATAAACTAATCTGATGGAGTGCAAAAATCCCCACTGCTTCTCTTCTTTTTTGCCAGATCTCCCACAAGGGAGTGGGGTATAAAATACTCATAAGATACTTGAATTAGTAACTGCAATATGCTTTCATTAATTACTTTGATAATAGTTTAAAAATCTATTGCCAGTTAAGCAGAGTTCTGAACTCAAAAGAGTTGTTTTCCGACACCCAGTGTTCTGATACTAAATGTAATATATAAGCCACCATGATTAGAAGCCTTGTTTACTTCATCCTTATCCCCAAATTCTGGCATTATGAAAGAGGAAGAAAAATGTGCCTGTCTCCTTCATGCAGTGACCACCTTTTTGAGTTCTAAATAACAGCTAATTTGAGTTGGTTCTTTCTGTATGTTTTCCAGCTTTGCAATATTTTCTATATGTGCCATGACAAATATACACAGTATTTATTCAATGTATAGTAGTATGATAGACTTGTACAAAGGCACTGGCTAGAATCCAGTTGCTTTGCATAGTAAATTGCACTAGAGTATGCCAATTGAATCTATGGACATTTAGTCAATCAACTCCTCATAGGTTTCATTGGTTGAAATAGGTCTACTGTAACTGTGACTATGCTACAGTAAGAATGAGTGGAATTTACAGAGATCATTTCACTTACCATTGGTACAATAAGCCTACTCTAGAGCAGTTTTTTTATATTAAACACGATATTTTGTTATTGTATTGACTAGACTTTTTAAAGAAATCCTTTTCTTAGTGGTTTCCAACATGGAAGTTGCCATTCTCAGAGCTACTGCACATAGTGGCGTGTGAGAGTGGGGAAGCATTTAAGGAGCTGTCTACATTGACATTAATGTATTTTTCCTATATTAGTGAATGGCTGCCATTAAAGGGACGAATACAGCACTACACTTGATAGCCACATTTCAGTGTTAACAAAACCTAAACCTAACCTTCACTGGTATGTGGTCTGGCCCTCCTTTGCCAGATGCCCACAGGGTATTACATACCCAGGAATCAGACTTCTTTTTGCATATGCAGTACTGTACTTACAACTAGAGTTACTGTTGTTGTTTTTTAAAACTTATCAGTTAAGAGGTAAATACTGAAAAAAAGACAGTGTTAACTAGAGATAGACAACATTAGAGCATCTTCATTGAAATCCTGAAAGCTCAAGTCAGTAAGATCTCTGTAGGAAAGTAGCTGTGTAAAAATTCTGCAGTGCTTTTCCCAGAGATTGATGACACAGAGAGAAACATATAAAATTTCCCTTGCTGTATTAAGCATTCAGGGAATGACAATAACAGTGAGAGTGAGTCCAGCAGTGCTGTATAAACTCTGCTCTAATGCTCCCTCCTCCATAGATGATCTACTTTGGGGGAATATAAACCCCATTATGGAATAGCATTCAGGGACTGTCACTGCCAAGGGACAGTGGAAATGCTGTCTCATTTATGTTAAAATCATAAGCATCTAGAAACAAGTAATCTTGAAATGGAAAGAGACAGAAGCCCATAATCCCTAAAGGGTTATCACATCTAGCAAGATAGAGAAAGAAGAGTGAGATTCTAGATTGTGGCATTCATAGATGGGCAGAATGAGGAAACTGGAAAGGAGATGTTGAAGTTAGCTGCAGTAGAAATAAATGAAGTGGGTAAAATATAAAATGCAGGCACTTCCAGATTCCTAAGAACTGTAAACCACAGTACAACTTATTTCTCAGCTTTTTCTTGGTTTTGTTGCCATTAGGCACACAAAAAAGCTCTTTAAATTAATTTCATGAGTGGTCTTAACTATTGTATACTGTCAAATTTGTCTTGTTCTTACGTTAAACTTCTCTTCCCTTCACCCCCCCCTTTTGTTTTTTCAGCAAGAGAAATGACTCGAGGAAAATTCTTGAACATCTTGGAGAAACCTAAAAAGTAACTGAATAGATGTATGGAACCAACTACACATGTCTACCAGAAAATTTCTGACATTTCTACATTATTTGAAATAAGAAGACCAGCACTTTGCCTTATTAGTTTCAGAAATACTTCTGACTCTCGCATCTTTTCTGAAAAGAAACAAAGACTACCGCCAGATCCCCTTAGTAGGAAAAGCTGAGGTTCCTGCCAGAAGCTGCTCTTGTCCTTTTGTCAGAAAATTTTAATGTAACAGAAATTTAGGCCATATTCTAATTAAAAGCAATAGCCTCATTTAGCTGCAGTGACTAGCAGCATACAGTATATTTAAAATAAAAGCAGAGATAGTTTCAGTATTAGTTATGTCTTTGTCCAAGAATGAAATGTTATTTCCTTTTCTTAGCAACAGATATTTCATAATTGTAATTATCTTTCTGAAAGTCCCTACTGTTAAACAGGACACTGGCATCGTCTAGAGATGAAACAGAATTTGTGTTCATATTTGCTTATGAAAGGACTGCCTAACTATTTTTAAGCACTCTGTATAAATTATTATTATCCACAAACACAGCAAACAAGGTATATTGGTTACCATTCTCTTTCCTTTTATGGGTCACATAGCTGAGGAGCCATATGCCAATAAATATTTTTTTCTTTTTGGTTTTCTAGACTGATAGGTTATAATGGGGGATGCAGATGTGTGCCTTGTTAAATAATAAGAAAAAACACCTGTGCCATAATAGTCAACTTCAGCAGTTTATTTTTTTATAATTATTATTTTTAACAATCAGCTTGACTTAGCTAGACACTCTTATTTCTGGAAGAAGTACATGTTTCAATGAACAAAGCAACTTTTCAGTGACAGGCCTCCATGAAATAGAAAGAAATTCTACCGTCTTGTTGACTTTGCATTATTGTATCCTTTTACAGCTCTAGAAGACAATTCTTCTGAACTCTCTCTGAACTTCTTTCTCTCATGGAAATATAGTAGGAGAGAAACTGATTCAGTCTTCGTTTTCAAATATTCTGTAAAAATTGCTTAATTACTAAAAACATGAGCAGGGCTTAAGTCAAAATGAGATGCTAGTAACTCTTTGTGGAACAACCTAGCAACGGTTAGGCACTTTTATGTCTATTGATCTCCATGAGACAGTAGAGCACATGATTGGGATATGGCCTATGTATTTTAGTAAAAACAAGATATGTCTATCACAGTACATTCAGGGGGCCCTTCCTTTTTTAGCATGTTGGTTCAGTAAAATCTTTAAACTGTTGAAGTAAGTGAAGGTGTATTTTCCTCCCAACGTGGTCACCTACTTGTAGGATAGGGATTCAAACATTAAAAGGCCACAATAAAGCTGATGGAGAACCAAAAGTGCAGAATGAGTTTGAGAGGAGGAAACTTTGGTAACAGGTTAGAGACAATGATATTTAATTTTTTTTTATCTTGACATAAGGTGTTATAGGCTTTTATATGTACGTAGCTACCCATAGCAAATTAGTGTAGATATGCATATGAGCTTTTTTCTTTCCCATTGATTTCAGTGGGACAGATTTTCATAAGTTTCCAACTTGCACATTGAAAACCATCAGATATAAAAGTATTGAACTTGGGCTGCATCATGCTCTGTATGAATGTTTGTAACTGTTGAAGGCTCCTCAAAACACATTTGGATCCTGTGAAACTGAAAAGTTCAAGAAGTGCGTTGGAGAAGTCCATGCTGCCAGTCCATTTATGAATAACAAACTTGATTAGATGTTAACTCCTCTATAGTTGAAAGAATTTCTATTTATTATGGACATTTATCCATTGTGGACAGAGCAGCAAATTGTGTATGATTCTGAGTGGGGATATTTATATATTTATATGTTTCTTCCATAGATATTGTAGGAATGTATTTTTATACATAGCATTATTGCTTGCTCTGTTATCCTAAATGAGTAATCTGTATTATGGCTTTGTGTTGTCATAAATAAATGAAGTGCATTTTCCAAGGCAATCCTGTACAATGTGGAATGTTTATTTCATCAACAACTATTAGGTAAATGTTCAATGAATCTACTTGGAATTTACTTGGAAATTTACTTGGAAATGTTTCAATGAATGTATATATGCTTGCTTTGATTATGTACCATGCAAGAAGGTAGAGAAAAAGTGTAGATGGGTCTCAGAGAATACCGTCCAAACAGCCGAGGAGAAAGACAGCTAAAGCAATGAGTAACCGTGAAGAGGTGAGATGATGAATGCTGACTTCCAAAGGGCAGCAAAAAAATATAGCGAAGTTTACTGGAGAAGGAGTTTACTGGGAGAAGTGTTGTACACATTAGGAATGCATTTGCACAAATTAAAAAGATTCAAGTACAGTGGTGCCTCGACTTACAACCATAATCCTTTCCAGAAGACGGGCGTAACTCAAAATGGTCGTAAATCAAAGCACCATTTCCCATAGGAATACATTGAAACCCCATAAATCTGTTCCAGCTTAATAATAATAATAATTCTTCTACCCTGGTACTAAGTACAGGAGCTCCCCAGGGCTGTGTGCTAATTCCCTTCCTCTATTCACTGTACACACATGATTGCACCCCGCTGTATAACACCAATGCAATTATTAAATTTGCGGATGATACAACAGTGGTGGGGCTCATAAATAAGAACAATGAGTCTGCTTATAGAAAGGAAGTACAAAGGTTGGTACTTTGGTGTAAAGAAAATTATCTCACACTTAACATCAAAAAAACTAAAGAACTCATAATTGATTTTAGGAGTAAGAGAAATGTACATTTACCACTGTACATAAACGGTGAGGAAGTGGAGAGAGTTGGTAGTTTTAAATTTCTGGGTACTTACATCTCAGAGGACCTCTCATGGACTATAAATGCCAACATGCTAATGAAGAAGGCACAGAAGAGGCTGTATTTCCTGAGAATGCTCGGCAAGTTAAATTTATCTCAGCATTT